AAAGAGCCTATGATTTTCAAGAAAATGAACCAAAGATGATATCACGTTGTATATTGCATGAGTGTGTTTTCAATTATTCTGTAAATTAATTATCGGCGATGAGTCTACTGAGTATTTCTTCAAAATACTCATTCTGCTATTTTTAACAATATTTGCAGACTTCGCAGGCGATCGTGATTGATCCGGCAGTGGTGGCATAAAAATTTGATTATCGAAATTATTAAATCTTCGAATTTATGTATTGAAACATTGTTAACGTGTTTTTCGTTTCCGCTATTCCAAAACATGATATTTAAATTTTGAACAATTATCCAATATATTTTAATTGCCGACGTAGTTTCAATTGCAAATGTGATTTTAAAAATTAGGTTATTTCCGCAAAATTGATTGACAAAATTAGGGCAAACGACAATGACGTGGCAATCCGGGTTAACAGAACTCGGGGAAAACCAATAGATTTGCACAAAACCCACGGAACCTACTTCATCTTTCGTCGTTTAAACCATCAAATTACGTAAAAGATTGAAAATATTAAAAATAGAAACGAAAATCAAATATCGATATTTACCAACCTTAACAATTTGCCTGCTGTCGTATGGTTAAACAATAGGTGAAATTTAAATTTAATAATTGTGTTTTATTGTGACGCCTTTTCACGCAATACGGACTGGCTAGGAAGTTCGCAAAATTAGGTTAAATTATTCAGTTTTATTCAAGCCTTTTTGTTAACTTTCCCAAATTATCTTTCAATATTATTGTGCATAACATCTACACAAGCCTTTTTGTTAACTTTCCCAACCAGCGTTGAATCCGTCTTCTATTTTTCATCCACAAGAGTTTCCTCCTCCATATGGTGATGGATGGAATTTACTGAATAATTTTTATAGCTACCAAACTAAAAAAGTCGTCAATTAATACGAATACTAATCGCGACTTTTCAAATATAAATGGTGCATATTATAGAGTCATATTGTTTCCAATTGGGCGTGACTATTAAAAAATGTACATTATGAAAAGTCAATGCCTGTTGACAAGATGCAATCTAGATCATTAAATATGAAAATGTATAATCTAATAGACCGCATTAATTTATATCAAAAGATGCAATCATTTCGAAACGATATTGGAAAATATATAAATATGAACCTTGATTCCATAATACGTACACCAAATCAATTCAAGAAAATTTGATTTCTAAATTCTCTTATCTCTTCAAAATATTATGTTATTTTATTTGTTGAAATTAAATTCCGTTGAAATTATTTTCTGAATTAAAATTTTGTTAGAATAATTTTAGCTCGTGTTTATTCCGCTCGTGAAGAATACTATCAACATTTTGGTTCGTCGAATAAAATTAATATTGCGCTATATTAATTTTGGAAGAAGACACACGTCTATTAGATCCTGCAAGAGGTGGAATATGTCAATCGTATGCCCCACTTCAATTCATCTCCTTCTAATTTTTAGGTTTCAGTAAAGTGCATTTTGTGCATGTTTTGATGAGCATATCTTGGTTTCTCTAAGTCAAAATTCTATTTGATATTTTGCACTAGTAATTCACAATTTTATCATATTTACATGAACATGCTTTTTGTTAAAATGAATATAATTATGTGCCATTTATCCAACATATGATACAGCACTCCGTCATCATCGTCAGGTTGCAATATGTCACATGATCGTGACAAAAAATGTAGAGGAAGAAATTCTCTATTGAATCTTTTCACAAGTTATATGATAATCGATCATGATATGTTTTTTGTATTCAAGAAGGATGGAGTTAGTAGTAACATGCAACGCTGCTTTGTTATCACAATGAAGAGATGCTGGTTAAGGATGTTGTAGCCAATGTCTTTAAGCAAATAACACAACCAACTAATTACACATGTAGCCGTGGCTCTATATATTGCTTTCGTGGAAGAACAAGAAACGATTGGTTGTTTCTTAGACTTTCAAGAAATTGATGAATTACCAAGTAAACAGTAAACACACATAATAACTGTAATAGATCGCCGTAAAGCTTTTCTAATTAACTTCCAAGAAATTAATTTTGGCAGCACAATTTAAATTGAAAAACATAAAAATAAAATCAATAGATTTAGTGAGGGTTCGAGGAATTCGGAACCATGTTCTCCATCACCGCCCCATTGGAAGCGGCCTACTGTGTGGGTTGGGGCGAGGCCCTTTCTCTAGTTTTTGAAAACTTGGAAATTGTTTAGTTTGAAAAATTATTAAGCAAGTATAATATTTGTGATTTTAGTTGGTTGATGTATGTTATTTTATTTATGTTAATGGTCTTTGAATAATTTAAATAATATTAAGAATAAGAATACGTCTTTTTATTCCTAGACGAAAGGCTTGAGACTTGAGCTTTCTCTTCCTTTTTGTCACGTCTTACGCCTATTAAAATGATATCTATAGCTAATACTAGCTAGTAAATTAACTAATGGTCATCTAAGTGAATTAGCTAATATAGGAAAAACTAAAGACACTCCTCGGAGAGATGAAGACACTACCTTGGCGGTGATGCTAACGAACCACTTTTGCCCACAGAGAGAGAGGTAGAGAGTTCGATGTCTTATATATTAAATTATTCAGTCTATAGTCTATATTCATTGTGTATGTTTGACAAAGTTTACATTTTTTAAGCTACTCAAAACATACTCTTGCTCAAACATTTCGTAAGGACTTTTAACTTACTACGTTCTTATTATTCACATATTTCGCATGTACACAGCTTATAAGCACCTAAAAATACTACTAATAAAGCACGTTATTTTGACTAAATAAAATGCAACGGAGACAATTTAATTAATGGAACAGTTGTTAACGTATGACAGGGATATGGTCAGAGATGGAGTTGATTTCCGTGTTAGCTACTGATTCCTAGAAGAATTTGGTTAATAGTGTCACCATGATCATGACCATGACCATGACCATGACCATGATCATTCAATTTAATTTTGTTTTACCATGACTAGTGGTGGCAAACTGGCCGAGCGGCTCGACAAATGACGGGCAGAGCACGAGCCGAGCTCGTGGGCTCGTTTAAGGCGAAAGGTTAATTATTATTATTATTTTTAGTTTATCTTTTAAAAAAAAATTTGACGAGCTCGGGAGCCGAAGCTCGGCTTGGCCCACGAGCCATGGGCCGAGCTCTAATGGCCGAGCAGAAGCTCGGCTCATGACAAGCATAATATTAGTCGGGTACCATCTGCACATATTCCTCCCATTGATATTGAAGAAGACGACATTGAAATATTAAATTTATTTGAAGGCATTAATACTTATAGATATTATGCAATAGCTTCTTCTAATAGTAGTATGTCTACCGCATGTAATCAGATATCGGAAGCAGTCCAAATGTATTACCTGCTGAATTACTTGATTATTTTAATCATAATATGCCTAATAACAACGATGGCCAGTGATTTTCGCGATTGGAAAAGACCTACTAACACATCCGGTTAGCACTATAGTTCTGAAATCTGCTTTTAGTGCAGGTAAGAGGGTAATATCCGAGGTCAAGAATCGATTGAAAGAAAATATTTTGGAAGCATTAATGTGCGTTGAAGATTGACAAGACTCTCATTTCTGACAACAAGATAAATATGTCAAAATTGCTTGCAGTCAAGTAAGTGATAATTAATTTAAGCAAATTAATAAAATTTGTTATTTTATAATGCTGTTTTAATTATTTTTAAAAATTGTACTCGTAACAAATTGTTCGTATACAATTTTCAACTCTGCCTACTCGAAATTTAATTAGTCGATCCCAAAATCCGGATAAAGGATGATAGTTTTATCTTTAAAAAAAGAAAAGAAAAAAGACTAGCTTGCGAGTCGAATCTCGACTCAGCCCTCGTGCTTTGGAGCCGTCATTCAAATGTTTTCCGAGTGATACAGTGAGAGAAGAAAGAGCTGTGCTACACTCACAGAAAACCCATTTACAGAACACTTACAGACACACACATGCACGGGGTGGGTGGTTTTATTTTTTCAATTTAAAATTCAATGGGGCCCACCCCATTGTGTCACTTCTGGTTTTCCTCTGTAAGTGTACAGTTCTGTACACTTAGAAAAATCCTTGGAGAGAATTAGACAATTTATTTACAGTTCTGTACACTTAGAAAAATCCGAGAAGAAATTGGTAACTAAAAAAAAATATTTTTCCACCACAAAGTTGTCGAATTTTGACATGGTCAGACCCAAAGATATTTGTTGTACCAGGTCTTAGGAATTGTCATTGATTTTCAATCAACCTTGAGTTTAATATATATATATATATTCAGCTCATGAAATCATACAGAAAAATCAGCCGGCGAAAATATTCTTTACCTGCAGGCCAGCTTCTATATTTCATCCCTTAATTTGATATTTAACTATTTGGCTTATTTTCAGAAAGCATACAAGCTACAATGTTCAATTTTTTATGGCTTTCGTTACTGGTGTTAGTTGCAGTCTCCGCAGCCGCTGCCTCCACCGCAAAGCCGGGCTGCCAATCTAAGTGTGGAGACTTAACTGTGCCCTACCCGTTTGGCATAGGAATAGGAACAAACTGTTCAATAAGCTCATGGTATGACATAAACTGCAACACGACTTTCAATCCTCCAAAGCCCTTCCTCGCCACCACAAATCACGAAATTATTGACATATCCGACAAAGAAATACGTATTAAGAATTCGGTAGCTGCCCGATGCTATACAGAGACTGGTAAATTAACCCGGCAAAACCCCATATCCATAAGCTTGACTGTTACACCTTATAGCTTCTCCGAAAAAAATAAGTTCACAGTGGTGGGCTGCGACGATTTGGCAGTGATCATCGGCTCCAGCGGCCGGAATTTCACCAGTGGCTGCCTTTCTGTTTGCTCTGATACTGAAGATATGAATGATGGATTTTGTACAGGGATTGGTTGTTGCCAAACTCCTATACCTAAAGGCCTAAAGACTTTTGCATCTGCACTTGGCAGTCTTAATAATCACACAAGGGTTTGGCCCTTTGATCCTTGTGGTTATGCTTTTGTTGGAGATCAGGATGTATTTCAGTTTCGAACCTCGGATTTTACTGATCAAAGCTTTCAGAATAGAACAATTGAAAATGTTCCAATAGTTATTGATTGGGCTATTGGGAATCTGAGTTGCAGTGAGGCTAAGAAGTCTAATGAGTTTGCTTGTCTTCAGAAAAGTGTTTGTGTTGATTCAGACACGGGTCTTGGTGGAATCCGCTGTAATTGCTCGACAGGATATGAGGGCAATCCGTATCTAAGTCCAGGCTGCACAGGTTAGTTTTTTTAGTTGCATTTTTCCATGGGAAATTTAATGACAGATTTATTTTTCCATTGTTTTCCTTGACCAGCTTGACTCACAGCCTTTTTTTTATGGATTTTTCTGTCGGTAAAGATCATAGTCAGATTTTTCTGCACTAGAAAATATGTGGTTGCAGCATTTTTTTTTCGGTTGGCAGATGAATTAAAATTGAAAATGGTTTATCAAACTTGGAAAAATGAGTCAAGTAGATATTAGTCCTTCTCAATATTGAAAAGTATCCATGCTTTTTGACATTTAATTAACCTCATTTACATGATGTTCTCTTAATCAGTCTTATAATCAATGAGAATAGTCATGGCCCTCTTTTTATATTTTATTTTGGAAAATAACAGTTTGGATTACTTGTGATTTTTAAGTACTTACTCCCTACGAAAAGAAGAACAAGCTCTCCAGACCATTTTCTTTCATTGTTCAGAAATCACTTAAAATATCTCCAATTTGACATAATATACCTGTGGAGAAATGGTATTTAGGTGACATTTGGAGATGTCACACGAGAAGTGCAGAACATAAATTTTCCATGAAGATAACCTTGATGTTGTACCACAGACATTGATGAATGTAAGAACAATCCATGCGACGAAAATGGGATTTGTTCAAATACTCCAGGTAGCTTCAGCTGTTCCTGCAAACATGGATACACCGGCGATGGAACAAAAGAAGGACGTGGTTGCATTGCCAAGAATTCCCAGTTCCCAGTAATCAAGTTTTCACTAGGTGATTCTTTTGTAAATTATTAAAAAAAATGGAAGTCAATTTACATAATCTTAACTATTATTTGCATTGATAGAAAGCTATTTGTTATCTTAATTTTCTTGTATAATAATAAAAGAGCACAATATGGTAAAAGTTGTGCTTGGTTGTTGAATTTATGTCCAAAATTTTCAAGAAAGTCAGTAAACTTCATTTTTGTCACTATAGGATAGTAAAATATTACAATATATCATTTTCACGTTGTCGTTTCTTTGTTGAAATTTTGTTCATTATGTGTTTTATGTTATATTTCAGTTTTCAGCATGGTCTTTGTGTCGATAATCATTGCTATGACATGGCTATATTTTAGCGTCAAGAGAAGGAAGCTTGTTAGAATGAGAGAACAATTCTTCCATCAAAACGGTGGGCTACTTTTGAAGCAGCAAATTTCTTCAAAAGAGGGTGGAGTAGAATCAACCAAAATATTTTCTGCTGAAGAACTTGAAAAAGCCACCAACAAGTATGCAGATGATAGGATTCTTGGCAGAGGTGGCTATGGTACAGTTTATAAAGGAATTTTATCTGATGATCGTGTAGTCGCAATCAAGAAGTCGAGAATAATGGATCAGAACCAAATTGAGCAATTCATTAATGAGGTAATGGTCAACAGCTTGTCTAAAACTTAAAACTATTACAAAAAAATAATAATAATAACAAAAATATAAAATAAAATAATTTTATTAATTTTTTTTTGTCTTCAACACATTCCTCACCCTCTTACACGCAGTCCAGATTTTGTCTGTCATTAAAGGCAACGTATTCACAATTTTCATAAATGGCTAGGTCGACACTTCGAACACATATCATTGGGTGCTATAAATCATTGCATGCTATAAGATACCATATTGACGTACTTCATTTTAAATTAAGTTGTTACAAGGGACACATTTATTAATTTAGATTTTTATATTCGGACAGGTGGTTATTCTTACCCAGGTTAACCATCGAAACGTTGTGAAACTGTTGGGATGTTGTTTAGAGGCTGAAGTTCCTCTTCTCGTATATGAATTTGTTTCAAATGGCACTCTTTTTCACCATATACATAATAATGGTGAAATGCCATGGTTTTCTTGGGAAAATAGGTTAAAAATTGCTGCCGAAGCTGCTGGTGCATTATCCTATCTTCATTCAGCAGCTACTATGCCTATTATTCACAGAGACGTCAAGTCGAGCAATATATTGTTGGACAATATGTATACTGCTAAAATATCAGATTTTGGAGCGTCAAGATTGGTTCCCTTAGACCAAACACAAGTAACAACACTAGTTCAAGGAACCCTAGGTTACTTAGACCCCGAGTACTTCCAAACGAGCCAATTAACCGAGAAAAGTGATGTCTATAGCTTCGGAGTGGTTCTTGCAGAACTTATGACAGGAAAGAAACCCCTTTCACCTACGAAATCCGAAGAAGAGAGGAACTTGGCTACATATTTCATTATGACCATTAAAGAAAACAGATTTTTTCGAATTCTAGAGCCTCGGATTTTGAGGGAAGGTAGTTTGGAACAACTGCAAGCTCTTGGTGAGTTAATCAAAAGATGCCTCAACTTGAAGAGTGATGAAAGACCAACGATGAAAGAAGTGGCAATGGAGTTGGAAGGATTAAGGAAATATACAAAACACCCTTGGAATCAACAAGGAAATGCAGAAGAAAACATGGCATTGTTGAGAGAACAATCAGACTTATATGATATCACAATAACAGGTCAAGAAATTACTACTGAAATGTACTCTGAACAATGTAGTTTGTATAGTCATATGATATATCCTACCAACAATCCTCGTTGAGTAATTTGTAATGAAATTAATTCTTCTATGTACACTTATTTTATTCTTTGGCGTAACTTTTTGGGGACTCTGCACATAAATTTTCCGTAGGCAAATCAAAACTATCTAATTGTTGAAACAAAAATGTACCAATAATTTTTTGTAGTCCTTGAATATTTTTCACTCGATTAAAATGGGTTAATAATTAGATTCCAAAAAATCCAAGAGTATCAAACAGGGGCAGCCCAGCAAATTTTTTCAGTAATGGCAGTATTAGTAAAAAAATTATAACACAAACATTATACTAAAATGAAATACCTTACAATTGTTCTTTACGAGTTTTCATACTTTAATATCTTTGTACAATTGCCTCATTATCAATTTTTAAGAATATATTTTTCTCCACATAAACAATAAGGCTATCATTTATCCACTCATCTCCAATTTGATTCGCAATCTATCCTTTACAATGTTCATGGCTGAAAATACTCTATACACCATATCAGTACGTAGCAACCGAAAAAATTAGTGTCAAAGTCAAAAGCTTTTAAACCATTGGATATGATCTGCTGCTTTACTTGTCAAAACCAACTTCTGTGCGAGAGCACTAAGACCGATTAATTTTTCAAACTCTTTGCAAAAGGACATAAAAAATGTAATTATCAAGTTGATCATCAAGTGTGAAGAGATCTGCTTCTGAAAAATCTTATAGATAAGTTGAATCAACTTTATTTTATCAGAAGTAGAGAATGAATTTTGTGGACAGACAAGCAGAGAATGAATTTTGTTGAATCAACTTCCACACTTAACGCGAGCTTGATTATTAAGGAAAGAAAGGTGCTAGTGTTTTTCTCAAGGCAACACATCATTCGCAAGTAGCATAATTAATTGCTAAAGTTAAGTTTGCTCGCTATGAAAGGGAAAAGAATTGTCAAGGCAATGTATAAACTTATGTTACAGGGATAATTAGAAATGAAGTGCCTAAATTCAGAAATTGGTACATCAATTATTATTCTTATTTTCTTAGCAAATCTTTGGTCAGGAATAAGGTAGTAAATTAGAACATTTTACAGCTTGAGATACTGTGATTGATGTAGGGCCTGCTCAAGGAAAGCAGAGCTTCAGTATCTATTTGCTAAGACTAGAATTTAAGTTATGATGTCCGACTCTAAACCAATTCCAAGGCATGTGTATAAAACCTAAAAATAGAAAGATGTGATTAGTGCAGGGATGAGTCTTAAAATCAAATTATTAAGCAGAGTACTCGCTTCAGCAGGAAAGAGGATTAATTTTTCTAAAAAGGCAGGCAAAGATGGCAGCACATACCATTACAATTCATCCTCAATGGATTGCTCGCTTTTTTATGCCCACTCAGTGCCACACCACACCACTCCATAGCCCAACCCCCTACTCGCAAATTTATCTTTTAAAGTATGTTAGAAACAGAACAAGCATGCTTACAAAAATAAAATTGATGAATACCCAACAAGGCAACAACACTTGTGAAAACAGCCAATAGCAGATGCATACCAATAGAAATTATAGAAAACTCACCTACTGGGTGCCTGGCTGATGAAAATTGATGAAAATAGGGGACGTGCGTGGTGGATGAAGGGGCGTGTGCGGTGCTTTAGTGGAGCTTCAGAGAATTGTAATGGATTGTAGGGCTTCCATCATTCAGTTTGGGCCAATTAATTGGCCCACTTGTTTTTTTTAGTATTGGGCTGCTGAAAATAATGGGGCAGCCCAAAGCCCAGTGCGGGCAGATTCCGCACTAGGCTTTGGTTGGGTCCGCCCCTGGTATCAAAGTGCTAACTCAATCAATGCAAATACGAAGAACAAACAAACAGCTAGTCCCCAATTCTTAAATGTAAAACCCTTAATTTTTGTAAGACCGTAGTCTGATTTCAACTTCCATTATGTCATTGTTGTGTAGTGTTAAGAATCCGGCTAAATAATTAAAGGCCAGAATAATATGAGTAATATGAAGATAATGGATCACATAGAAAACAAGATTTACGTGGAATTTCAAATCAGGGAAAACCACGAGTAGATGTGAAGAATTCACTATAATCAATAGTAAGGAGTTACAAATGATTTCTTTGGACCAATAACTGTTGGACAATTGGTCAAGGTACTCTAGGTTATTTAGATCCCGTGTACTTCCACTCGAGCCAATTTATAGTTTCGGGGTGGTTCTTGCTGAACTTATGATAGGAATGAAATCTCTTTCACCTACAAAATCCGAAGAAGAGAGGAACTTGGCTACATTTTTCATAATTTCCATCAAAGAAAATAGATTGTTTCGAATTCTCGAACCTTGGATTTTGAGGGAAGGTAGTTTGGAACAACTGCAAGCTATTGGTGAATTAGTAAAAAGATGCCTCAACTTGAAGAGTGATGAAAGATCAACAATGAAAGAATTAGCAATGGAGTTGGAAGGATTAAGGAAATACACAAAACATCCTTGGATTCAACAAGGAAATGCACAAGAAAATATGGCATTGCTGAGTGAACAATATTCAGACCTATATGATATCACAATAACAAGTAATGAGTAACAACTGAAATGAATTCTGCACAAGATGGTTTGTTTAGTCATATGATATATCCTATCAATAATCCTCGTTAAGCAGTTTGTATTGAGATTTGTTGAATTTAGGTTTCCAACTTCACTTCCTGGGCTCAGAAACAACTACAATCGCCTCCACACAACTCAAGCTCGACCCAAACACTTCCCTCCACCTTGGTTGCCACAAGTTACACTCTCTATATTAACCCACAAAGGATCAATAATGGGTGGATGCAATAACCACTAAGGTAAGAAGAAACAAAGGAGAAGACAATGGCTCCAAAGTCACCAAGAAATCAAGCTGCTCTCTTTCTCTCACGGCTCTTCTCTTGCACCACACAGTTTCTAGTATTGGGGAGATGGGTATATATCTAGTGGATTAGGTCACATAAAATGGGCCATGAGTAATGGGTCAACTTAATACCAATAAATGGGCTTAACATTAAACCTAAACCACAAACCAATCACAACCCCAACTTGGACCTTCCAAAAGTGTCGATAGTATTCGAGTTGAGTCAAACGTATGGTGTCGATAAATTCCGGACAACTGTTTTTCATCATCGCCCGTGTTTATTGGGTATCAAAAAACCCAACAAGATTAATTCTTGTC